GCAGCCCGGCCCTTCCCTGCGCTGCTCACGTCAGCACGGAGCGCGCGCGCGGCTCGTCTGAAACCCTGAGAAGGCATTTCTTTCCCCAGGCGGAACCGTCAGTCCGGGTTTTGTACTGATAGGTCGCATCCTACACAGAATCGCAAAGTTCCGTCCTCTTCTTGTCTTTGTCAACCTGTTCTATGCGGTTTAAGCTATTTATTCTTCATTCCTAACACATTTCAAACCCCGCGAGGAACAAGTCAAGGAGGAAGGAGCGGGAGCGGGGAGGGAACAGGAAGCCAGCTCCTGCTGCTGGGGCTCGCGCCGGCTGCTCCACTCCCATTTCCATCCTGTGTTGCTCCCTTTAGCTTAAGAACATCTTTTAACCTTTCCTGTAGGACAGGTCTCCTGGTCTAGAACTCTCAGCGTTTATTTATCAAAAAATGAACTTTAGGATTCTTTGAAAAAAAATGTTAAGTATAAAAAAAAAATTTACGACTCGCAAGTGTAGTACAGAAAACCCTCCCCAGAGACCTTTTGAGAACGAATTAGTGCCTAACACCCCCTCCCTGCCGTGTGCTGTCAGACATGGGACACGAGCACGAGCCCCTCGCTACCCTCAGGTCCCCGGGCCCCCTTTGGGTTCCCCCGTGGGTCCACTGCTGTCCTTTAACGGATGACTCCGTGTACAGCCCCGTCTGGTCTCCAGCCTGTGACCTTCACGACACCAACGCTTCCAAAGGTCACAACAGGGATCCCTGGGTGGCGCGGCAGTTTAGCGCCTGCCTTTGGCCCAGGGCGTGATCCTGGAGACCCGGGATCGAGTCCCACGTCGGCTCCCGGTGCATGGAGCCTGCTTCTCCCTCTGCCTGTGTCTCTGCCTCTCTCTATCATAAATAAATAAAAATTAAAAAAAAAAAAAACACAAAGGTCACAACAGTTGGATTCTAGATGAATCCCAGATGGACCTTGCTGGTCGCCCACGACTGGGTCCAGGCCATGCATCTTCGGCAGGCGGCTGGGGCAGGGGTGCCGGGTTCTCACCACATCCTGCGAGTGTAGGATTTCACTTGGCTATACTTCAGGTGACAGTCACTTATTTGGGCGCCACTGATCTTGGTGTTGGGGGTTTCAGTGAGCAGACTGCCCGGCCCGGCGCCGAGGTCCCCGCACACCAGGGCGCTCACTGGCATCCGCTCCGCAGCACTTAGCAGTCTCTGGGTTCGTCCTGGACTTGCCAGCCCATCTGGCATCACCTGTCTGGGCCTCCTCGTTGCAGAGGAAGGTCTTCTCCGTCCGTGCCCAGGGCCCAGGTGCTGCTTCGTGCGGCGCTGTCGTGGCTCCCAGGCCCTCAGAGGACCAGAGACGTAGTTTACACGTGATACGCCCACGGGACAGTGGAGACCTGTGAGCATGTGCAGTAGGCCCGTGTACGAGGCTGCACCCGGTTCGTGGAGTGCAGCAGGCGGTCCCGGAAGCCGTCGGGGGTGTCACTGCGTGGGGCCCGCGGCTGTGCAGGAGGCCATCCTGAGCCGTGCTGTCCGATCTCATGCAACGGTCATACACGCCTCTGAGGGAGTCTACACCCCAGCAGCTTCTCCCCGGTGTCCCCGGGGACTCAACATGCCGCGTACCCGGCCTCGGCCTAAACCGGCCATGAAGCAGGGCAGCCCGAGCCCACGGAAGCTCCTGGCCCGGCCCGTCCTTGCTTGGGGCAGAGAGCCGTTTCTCAGGCAGCTGGCCCCCTTCCCCTTGGGGACCAGGGGTCCTCACACTTCCCACGTGATGGCCCGGCACTGAGCGCACCGGGGCTGGGGGGCAGCCTGCTGGGTCAGGACGAAGCCACCTTCCCAGGGAGGACAGGATTCAGACCCGGCTTGGCTTCCGGGCAGAAGCTCCAGGAGCTCCCAGCAGCGTCAGGCGAGGCCTCGGGGTCGGGGGCAGGCTGTCCGCACGCTGCGCGGGATCAGAGCCCTGCAGGCTGGGGCGGGAGGATCTGATCAGGAGCGAGACTGGGTGCTTCTCCTGTGTCGGGGCTGCAGCGGGAGCTGGACCCAGGCCAAGGGCGAAGGACCCCAAAGGTGTGCTGTGCCCTTCAGAGCCCAGCCCCGTCTGCAGCCGCCGCACACACGGAGAATTGGGAAAAGCACTAACCGTCCTTTTTCTCTTGCCTCCCGGTGGGGACGGACAGATGGTCGACGCTTCCAAAAGCATCGAAGTCGTCCACAAGGAAATCCACGCCCTCTCCGTGGACACCATGCAGGCCGCTGCGCAGAGGCCACTGGGAGAGCTGTGGAAGTAGCGGGAGGCGGACTTCCAGGCGACGTGCTCGCGGCACACGCGCCGAGACCACCAGCGGCAGGTCAGCGAGCCGGGAGCCAGCAGGCGCGCTGGGGACACCGTGCAGGCAGTGCTTCGCAGCGGCGTCCCCCGTCCTGCCTCAGCCTGGAGACCCAATGAATCACGGCCTTCAGGGAGTTTAATGACCACCTCCGGGCAGCTTCACGGAGATGGCGATCGATCAACATTTTCCTGAATTTCTTGCAGGGGCGAATAAAAATTTAAAAGGGTGCTCGAGGGGATCCCTGGGTGGCGCAGCGCTGTTAGTGCCTGTCTTTGGCCCAGGGCGTGATCCTGGAGTCCCGGGATCGGGTCCCATGTTGGGCTCCGGGCTTGGAGCCTGCTTCTCCCTCCTCCTGTGTCTGCCTCTCTCTCTCTGATAAATAAATCTTAAAAAAAATAAAAAGGTGCTCGAGGGGGCTCGCCTCCCTCCGTCCCTACCCGCACTGGGGCTCCCGGCCGCTGCCTGGCATCGCAGTAACGTGCTGGCCCGTCCTGTCTCGGCGCCGTGGTGCCGGCGGGTGCGGTTTGCCGTGGGTCCCGCTGTGACCCGCTCCGGGCCGCCTGCTGACTCGTGAGGGAAGGAGCGGAGTGCTGAGGGGCGGGCGCGGGGCACCCGAGGGCAGCGGCCTCCGTCTGCGGCCGGGCGGGGACCTGTGAGCCTGAGGGCGGCGAGCGGGCGCCTCTGCGTGGGGCCGGGGCAGAGCCTGTGGCGGCCATGACGTCCCGCACAGCGGGGTCCAAGCGTGTCCTCTGGTCCCCGGCCCTCGGTCCCGGACCTTGGGTAGCCCCGCGGAAGCGAGGCCAGAGGCCGGGCCGCTCTGAGGGGCCCTCTGTCCACAGGGCACTCGGGCGGCTCTGCTCTTCCGCACCTGGAGCATGCGGCACAGACGCTATGGGGGACAGTGCACGGGGTCACCCCCCGCCCCCCTGGGACGTGCCAAGGCCGTCCTTGACCACCCTTGTGCTTTCACACAACGGAGGGCACACACCCCGTGACTCCCGTGACCCCGGCAGCCTCTGCGTCCTGCAGCCTCGTCAGGGCCTCGGCTGAGCGAGCTGTGGGGGGGGGGGGGCGGCGGAAACGGCCCAACAGACTTCAGCACCTGGCCAGGGGGGCGGGGGCGGCCCGGCCAACGGGCGCCGTGTGTGGGACCCGTGCAGACCCCGTCTTGGCTTTTGTGCTGGGGTGGGCAGGACGGCCCGAAGCCAGGCTGCGAGGAGACGCCGCGCTCCCTGCCCAGGGCCCGGCCCGCGGAGACCTCAACTCCCACCCCTGCCCTGAGAGGAAGGTGGTGGCTCGACGCGCCCGGCTCCACGTGGAGGATGGTTCCAGCACAAGAGGTTCCTTCCGGCGGCTTCTAGAGGCCATGACATGGGGACCTTCCCTCAGCCCCTCACCGCAACACCGGAGGGCAGGGGGTCACCTCCTAATGGGCCCCCCAGGGCCCTGGGGCGGGGCGGCCGGCAAGGGACCTCCCAACCCTTCCGAGGGGCCGCTCTGCGCTCTCCTAAAAGCAAGTTCCCTGGAGTTTTCCCCTTTGGGGACTGTGGGTCTGGGGAGGTGGCCCCTCCCTCCCTCCCTCCCTCCCTCCCTCCCTGGCGCACTGCGAGCCCAGGCGACGCCCCTGCTGTTCTTACCACGTCCACCTGCAACTCAAGGAAAATCAACACACAGACAACAAAGTGTTTTCTACGGAAACTGTTATTTGCCGTTAAGAACTGCCAGCTACACTGGGGAGGTGAACATTCTCCGTAAGCCGCCTCAGAACCGGGACGGCTCCCCGTGGGTCGGGCCAAGGCCCGCGTCCCCCACGTACAACAGCGTGGGCTGCAGCATCAGCCCCGGCCGCCCCCCCCCTCCCCCCGACCGCTCAGTCGGAGCAACGCGGCCGCCTTCCCTGCTGCCCAGCTCTACCCCACGGTCGCCACTGAGGACACAGGTGGGAAATGGAAGTCCCCTCCATGGGCCACACGTGGGCCGGCAGGACGTGCAGGCACAGGGCAGTGCGCCCACCTGCCCGGGAGGACACGGAGGCGGCTTGTGGTGCAGGCGCCCCCGAGCCCCCGCTGCGCTTCCAGGTGGGACGCAGGCCAGTCTTCAGGACGGACGGCAAGCCCAAGCGGGAGGGGTGCAGTCTGGGCCCGGCCACAGGCTGAGGGCACGGGAGCCGACCTCTGTGCTCAGGAGGGTCCGGAAACCTCCCTGGTTCGTGAGGAACCGTGGGGCTGTGGGCTCTACCCTCAAGCCTGGAGGGAGGCCCTGGAGGGCAGCGTGTCCCCATCCCACCGCCCCCGTCCTGGCCCGGGGCAGCAGGTGCAGCAAGGACGGCAGCACAGGGGCAGCACAGGGGCGTCTGGAATGCTGGGACCGGCACAGGAGGTGTGGAAAGGCGCACCCCACTCAGGCTTTACCTGTGGCTCCGGGAGAGCAGACACGTCCCCGTCCTGGCGAGTCCCTCGCACGGGGACCTCCCTGGATCCCACCACGCCCCACCACCTTGCTACTTCGCTCCCCGGGGCGAGGAGAAGCCTTCTTCCAACCCGATCTCCCACTGAGGTAGCCCCCGAGGAGCACGCCAGGTGGGGCCGGGGGGCCGGCCGAGTCCGCGGGCGCCCCTCCGCCCTGCAGGTCTTCGGAGACTGACTTGGGACACGCCCGACAGAAATTCATGTCCTTGTAACTTCAAACAGGACTTTAATTCCAAAGCAAACCCAGAACCGAGCGCCCAGGAGGAAGCAGGGCAGAGGCGGCGCGCTAATGCGGGGCTGGCAGTGTGGCAGGGCGAGCGCTCGCGGGTGTGAAGGCTCCGCTCTCAGCAGCTCCCGGCCCGGCTGCGCGGGGCGTCCTGCGGCGGCTCCTCGGCGGCGCCCCAGCCGGGCCCTCTGGGCCTGCGCAGTCCCGGGGCTGGCAGCAGGGCCCCCGGAACAGGGCAGTCCTCCGTCCAAGGGCAGAGGCGGCACGGGGCACGGGCGTTCAGCGGACGGGCAGGCTGGATGGATGAAATGCAGCGGCGCCAAGCGCCCCGAGGCAGGGCCGGGCTCTCGACGGCCCCCAGGGAGGGCTGGGGGACACCGTCCCCCAACTCCAGGGTTTTCAAAGAGACAAGATTTCAAAGTCTTCATCTTCTGAATCAAAGAATCTTTCCAGGCGCTCTACGTCAGAAGAATCTAGAAGAAACGAGACGACACGTCATCAGACGCCTGGTGTGGGGTGTCCGGGGTGTGTGCAGCGCCCACCACACCCTGCATCTGGCCCGCTCGCCCTCGGTGCGGCAGGAGGCAAGAGGACCCAGGGCTGCCCAGCGGAGGCCTCGGCCCCCGGGGCTGCGGGTCCCAGCAGGCAGGTGCTTCGGCTGGCGAGGGGAGGGCAGGAGGGGGCGTCTCTGGGGCTGGTCTGAAAAGAGGACACGCTTCTTGCCGGAGCCCGAGAAAAGGGGCGGGGCTGGGAGGGCAGGGCTTCCCGTCCTGAGAGGCGGTGGGCACCCCCGGTACCGTCTGGGGACTGGTGGGACGTGTGTCCCGAGTCTCCAGTGCGGCACCCTGGCTCCCTTCTGGGCCGTGGACGGCGGGCTCAGTCACCATCCTCCATGATCTTCTCAGAGGGGCGGGGACCCAGGCCCCGTCCGCGTCAGAGCCGGACGGCTGCATGAACTGGATGTGCTCACGGCCTTCCTGCCGAGTCCCGGTCGTCTGTGTGCCACAAGTGGATTCACTTCAGGGAAACTGAGGGCCTGGGCAGGGAGGCGGCCCTGGGCCTAGAGCCAGTGGGCAGCAGGACACGGAGCCCACCTGTGGCCCGCACTCCGGGGCTGGCTCCCGAGCCGGACCTCGCAGAGACACTGTGCCGTCGCGGAGAGCCTCGCTCGCCCTGGCTCGCCCGGACCCGGGGCCGCGTGAGGTGCGCGCCCGCTCCACGCCCGGGGGCCAGGCTATCGCGCTCACGTGAGGCTGAGGACAGGCACGGGTCGTGCTGCTGCCCTCCCGGGCAAGGGCCAGGCTGTCGGGCAGCAGCCAGTCCCACACACACACACCAAGTGGTCACATCGTGGCCTCATACAAATCCTAAAGGTCAAAAGCAACAGGAACAAGACCTGGGGGAAGCAGCGACACAGGACAGGACAGCGCACAGCCCGCAGCCCGCCGCAACGGCCGTGGCCCCGCAGGCTCCGACTCACCTAGGGACAGGTTCAGGACGTCGGGGCAGGCCAGGTGGGACGGCTGCTGCTCCACCAGCTCGAACATGGGCAGGGCGCCTCCGAGCAGCGATAGCTGTCGGCAGACACAGCCGTCAGGCACAGCGCGGGGTGCAGCCCCCGCAAACCAGCAGCCGCGGGGGCAAGCTCCACAACGCTGACACCCGAAGCCGCCTCCGAAGGCCCACAGCAAGGTCTGTGCCACAAGTGACACTGCGGGCTGTGTGCCAGGTGCCCAGGCTGGCGCGACCCCCGACAGGACACCCCGAGATGGCCTTCCCCCAGCCCCCACCACACGCGGGACCCGCCACCCACCTGCCTGACTTGTTGGCACCAGTCATCGAAGTCGTCCTCGGTCTTACAGAAGAACCCCTGGAACAGAGGTGACGGCGGCGTGTGGCACGCGCCCAAACAGGCCGCAGCAGGTGCAGCGTGGAGCCCGAGGGGGCCTGAAGAGGCCAGGGGACTGGCCACCGAGGACCCTCCGCCCTGACTCACCAGGCCACCTGGACCCACAGTGCGCGGCACAACTCACCAAGAGGGCCTCCCACCCAGCGGCACCTAGACCCGGGGAGCCCCGGGTCCCAACGAGGACTGTGGGTGGGGGTGGCACTCAGAGCCGCCGCACACAAAGCCCCGAGCCCGGGACGCGTCACTAGGACTCCGGGCGCTGCCAGGGCTACGATACGATCGCGGGAACAGGACCCGGGGCAGGAGCTGCTCAGATGGGCGGCCTCCAGCCCCGAAGGCCACCCAGCCCGGCCCGGGCTTGGCGGGGGGAGCCGGGCAGCGCTCCGCGGGAAGACGAGTGCGCCTGCAGCCCTCTTCCCACCAGGCGGGGTCAGGGGTCACTCTGTGCCCACTGCCGACAGCACTACCGGCCCAGGCTGCTGCATCACCTGAGCCCCCGCTGCAGTCAGCTATGGGGACGTGCTTGCTGCCTCGCGCCAGCGGATAGGAACGCCACCCTGCAAGCTACAGCCCCGCACCCTCAGGCCTGCCCCCGGGGCCACGGACCCACAGGCCGCACGTCCAGAGACGCCCGCTTCAAATCTGCCTTGTCTGTGACTCAGTTCGTCTCTCCCTGGGGGACACCTTTACTTCCAGCTGTTTCTGGCCTCCTTCCCCATCAAGTGCATTTTGAGAGCACACAGGTTTGCATAAACCATCCCAAATTCCTGCCTTGTGATCGGAGCCGGGAAGCTCATTCTGGGAATCATCTCTCGGATACGTTAGGTCTAACAACTTAAAAGTCAAACCAAAGACCCCCAAGAGATGGCAGAGAGCAGGGGGTGGGAGGCTGCGACTGTTAAAGGGGCTCACACCCCGACCCCGCCAAGGGGGAAGGCCACGAGCGTGGGCTTAACTAAGACACTGAAAGCAAAACCCTAAGATCGGAGGCCCTTCCCTTCCGTTGTGAACAGAACTGAGCCCCGAGTGCTCAGGACACCTGCCCACAAGTCACGTGGTCAGAGGGGAGGGCAGGACGGACGGTGGGGGGACGCACCACGGCAATGGACGGGTCGAGCTCCCCGATGCTCATCCTGCTGGGCGGGTGCTGGCAGTGGAAGCTCTCGTCGGGGATGAAGCAGCTGTCGGTAAACTCCACCGCCGGCTGCGTCGTGTGGGGATCCAGGTAGATGAGCTCTTCACCTGGGGCAGGTGGGGGGAAGTCAGCAGGCGGCGGCACACCGGGGTCCCTTCAGCCCTGCACGTGGAAACCCCAGGGCTGGACGGCAGGCAGAAGTGGGAGGAGGGGCGCGTGGAGGCCAGCAGCGGCCAGCTGGGGACACCGCCCTCCCGGGAGCTGCTGCCGGACTGGCCACTGCGAGTCAAGCCAACACCCTAGGGACGGCTGGGCTGCCCTGCAGACGAGTCCCTGCTGCTCCGCCCCTGGCAGCTGGGGCGCGCCCGCGGAACCACCGCTCACCAACGTAGCCGATGAAGTAGTGGGCGCTGTTGGGTTTCCCTCCGATCACTCCCAGGGACTGGGGCATCATGAAGCAGCGCTGCAGGACACAGGGCAGGGCGGCCGGCTCAGCACGCCGGGGGGCGCACGTCCCCTCCCGGCCAGCCCCGGGGCCCGGTGCAGGGACGGGGGAGGGGAGTGGGAAGATGGGCCCCAGAGAGCCGAGTCTGGAAGTAATGCGCAGTTGTGACCAGGAAAGCGGCGCACACGCAGTGGGCCTGGGGGGGTGGAGGAGGGGCGGGCAGGGATCCCCACCGCAGTCGGGGCTGGTCGGGGCTGCCCGGGTGGAGGCCAGGAGGCGCCGCATCGAGCAGCAGTGTTGCAGTCCCCCCGCGGGCAGGGAAGACGCACCTTCAGGGTCTCCACGTAGGCCTCGTTGATGTCCGTGAGCCCCAGGCGCAGGGGGATGAGCAGCACCAGGGGTCTCCACGGGGCCGGCCTGTTGGTGACCTCAGCCCCAGCAGGGAACCCGTTACAGTGGCGGCTGGAATCCGCAGGAAGCGCGGCGGCCCCTGCACACGGAAGGCTGCCCCTGCACAACCTTCCTGAAAAACAGAGAAGTGCTTTCGAGGGCTGAACAGAGCCCGACGGAAGTTCACCCCAGAGGAACAGACGCATAATTAGTCTCGGAAACAGGTAAAAAAGTCAAGTGCTTATTAACACAACAGGAACCTAGGAAAGAAGTCTAAGGTTAATCCCACCGCCCCCGGAGGGAAAAAGAGCCAAACATTTTCTGTGCATGTTCAGGTCAAAACTGTTACCATGAAATAACATCTCAAGTGCAACAAACACCGCCGTGTCCCGGGAAGCAACAAGGAGCACGCCACGGAGCCACCACGCAGGCAGTGGGCGGCACTGGCGCAGACACCATCGGGGACCAGCCCTCCCCCTTGTGAGCGCGGAGACGACTCCTTCCTTCGAAGCACACCTGTAATCCCTCGGGGTGGTACCCGGGGCTTGGTGGTGGGGACGGGGACGCTCCAGGGGCCCCCAAACAGCATGTGCCCAGGCCGCGGGCACGGGGAGCGGAGACCGCGGGGAGCTCAGCAGAACCAGGACTCCTCAGGGAACCCGCTGGCCCCGGGCCCGCGGCAAAGGACACGGTGAGCCAGCCACCCTGCCAGCCGGTGAGCTGGACGCGAGGATGCTAACAGAAGCACCATGCAAGCAAAACTCCACGCCGCGTCCCCCTCAGCACCCCAGTCATCACAGGGAGGCAGAGGCACGGCCCACACGAGTGACCCAAGGACGCGACCAGAGGGCGGCGGCCTCGTGCCGCGGTGCTGAGGACAGCCACCGAGTATCGTTCTCAGGCAAGATGTTTACTCGGATCTAATCCTGACGCAGCGAATGCGTCGGTCGTGCGGCCCTGCAGCAAGCCGGCCCGGGTTCCGCAGAATGGCCGGGCTATGCAAAAGCAGGAAAATAACCCGGGATGGGTTTTCCGGATCAGAGGCAGCCGCACAGGTGTGGGGGCCACACACAACCCCGGCCCCTCGCCCACGGCCTGCCAGAGAGACCCCGGGGGGCGCAGCAGGGAGGCGGGTGTGTGGCCCGCAACACTGCAAATGGCGGGATCTCCTGTGTACCAGGCACCCACCAGGGTCTCGCTCCTCTCCCAGCACCCCGAGCCCACCAGCCGCTGCCTCAAGATGCCGACCCCGCCCGCCTGCATGTGCAGACAGCCAGGCCCGCAGGACCGCCTGGCTTCAAAGGCAGCTATGGCTGTCGCCATCCCCCGGACACTGGCGAAAGCGTCTGCCTCTGCAGTGGGGATGCGTCTCCAGAACACACGCCCTCGAAGAACACCTGGTTAAGAGCCTGGGAGCTGTTCAGCTGTGAAAATGCCCGCTCGGGCGCAGGGCGGCTCTCCTGCTCCTCTGCGCTCCCGGCCCGCACCCCCTGGGAGCCCCACGTCACCTCTGCTCTACTTCCGCTGCCAGGCTCTTGGCCCCACACGCGGTCTCCGCGTGCCTGTGCGCCCGCACGTCGTCTCCAACCTGTAACTCCTCCCCACCAGAGTCCAAGCGTCCCCGGGGTCTGCTGCACTCACCAAAGTCTAAACCCATCCAGGGCAGGCGCTGGCGGAGGCTGCTCTGCGGTCCCACGTGGCCCCCCAAGGAGGGCGGGCACATCTCAACCAGCAAGGCTCCCCCTGCCCTGGGCCGTCCCCCTGAAACGGACAGGGGAGGCGAAAAGCCAGCACTTTCTCTGGGAGGAGCTCCGGGGGCTCCTGAGCACCCCGGACGCCAGGACGGCCCTGGCTTGGCCAGGATGGGTTACCCAGCATCCGCTTTGCTGAATCAGAGCTCTCGCTCCCACACCGGAGACCTCAGGCAGCCTCCTGCGAGCCTGCCTTTGCTGGGGCCCTCAGTAACCCCCACCCCCGGGGGCTCCTGAAGCCAAAAGCAATTAGCACGGCCATTCAGCATCCCCTTGCCTCAATGAACTGTGCCCAGGACCCCAGGGTCTTCCCAAGTCGAACCCAAAACGAGCACGCACCACTTGTGACTCAGGAGGGGAGGACTCCAGGGCCCCTGCCCACGGCTGGGAGGCCAGACCCGTACCCCAACCAGAACAGACCCACATGCCCCTCAGACAGCCCTGGCTCTGCGCCTCATCTCCTGCTCAATGACCTGAGACCCTGAGAGCCGAGAGCCAGGTCCGGGCCCCAGCTGACTCCTCCAGGCCCGAACCTGCACCTCCCCCCTGCCCAGAACACAGGTTCTGGAAATCAGCCCGTCCCTCACCCCTTCCTGGCACCGTACCGGGGAGACCTGGCTGGCGGGTGACCGGGTCAGCCCGGAGGTTAAGTGGTTTCCCCAACACGAGAGGCAAGAGAAACGCCACCTACTGGGAACGAGCAGCCCGACAGCAGAGGGCTGCAACGTCCCACCACGGAGGATGCTCAGCTACCGAGCAAGGGCTGCTCTGAACGACAAAGCCAACACTGGGAAGACCGGGGTCTCACCATCAGTAGGAGCGGCTTCCGTGGTTTCCTCCCCTATTCTCTGTACATTTCCAGTTTCCAACGTTTCACAAAAATTTCAAGAAATAAAAGTGAGAAGAAGGGAAAAACATCCTTCCTTGAGTTCGGGCCCCTAGTTTGTCAGCTCTCAGGGGCACAGGGTCAGCGTGCGGGGAGGGCTGGCAGGGCAGAGTGCGGCTGTGCGCTGGGAGCCCGTCCACCCGTCCTCTGTGGGGCGCACATGCACACGCCAGCAGTCACGGCGCGAGGCCGGCCTCCACCCGACCAGCCAGGCCACAGGTAAGCACGCTCAAAGGGCTCCATCTTGGGTAAAATTCAGAGCAACGTCTTTGGGGAAACGTGTTCCCAATAAAAACTAAGACGTTAGAGTTTTGTCTGCTTGGTTGTGTAACAGGACGTAGACTCCAAGCTCCACGCTGTCTCGCGAGAGGCCACGTGCCAAACGGAGCCATCACGTTCCTCTTGGACTAGTCTGGCACGCCCGGACTCCTTGAGGTCCCCAAAGCCCTGCTCCCCTTTCCTTAGGCCTGGGCTGCAGACGGTGCGGCTGCCAGCTGTCCTTGCCTCTCCCTGCGGAGCAGCGATGCCCATCAAGGCCTCAAGCAGGTGTCTGCCATGAGGACACAGCTCGGGTACTAAGTAACGCAGCTCTGCAGGGTCCAGGCCCTTCCCCTTGGCCTGTGTCCGGGCCCCGCCCCACGGCCCAGGAGCCGCTGCCCGAGGCCCGCACCCCGTCCACTTACTAATGTCCTCCATCACCACCGTGTTGTCCATGGCTATGTGGACCGCCAGGGCGCTCCAGGTGTCGAAGACAGCCAGTTTCCTAACAGAAGGGGAGGACACAGCAGTAAGCCTTCACAGTTCAGACCTCTCACCTCCGCGAGGCAAGCAGAGCAGAGATGAAAGTCCCAGCGGACGGGAGTGAAGCTGAGGCTGCAGCCTGCTTCCTCCCACCTGGCCCAGGGCGCCTTCCCTCACCCCAGCTGCCGCCTGGGGACAGAGCCCTGCTGAGGGGCATCGTTTCCTGATGTAGCTGCATGAAGAGACAGGAAATGCAACACAAACCCTGTGCCAGACCCCGCAGGTTTCAGCAACTCAGGCAGGCCCAGCTCCCCCTCACCCCAGAAGTGATGGACTGACCAGGGCAAGGGCGACCACACGAAGCCCCTCCTGATAGGAAGGCCAGGGGAGCAGGTGAGACACTCCACTGGCCGCTGCCCCGCAGGCCACATACAGGGCTGAAACCCACTGACATGCCAGAGACAACGCAGGCTCCCTGGTGCTGCCGTTCCAGACAAGAGGAGGGTGAAAAGAAGTAACTGTGTGGGCAGTGAGCACCACGGCGAACAGAGCAGTAGCCGGGGGCAAGACCGAGGCAGGGCAGGGAGGCCTTGATGCGAAGGCCGACCCGAGATGCCAGGGAGCAGGTGCAGAGGCCCGGGGTGGGTGTGCTGGGAGCGAGCACAGGGCAAGCGGGGGAGGAGGGGCACGCCCACTACACCTGCAGTCAACTATGGACGTCCTCAGCAGAGAAGGGGCACAAGACCGACTTGTGTTTTATGAAGATCACACCCACCTACCGGTATTCTAATTTTATAAGATTTATTGATTTAGGGGCACCTGGGTGGCTCAGTGGGTTGAGAGTCTGACTTCGGCTCAGGTATCAGGGTCTGGGATGGAGCCCCACACCAGTGGGGAGCCTGCTCCTCTCTCTCCTTCTGCCCCTTCCCCTCTCTCTCTCACCCCCCACTTGTGCACACTACACTCTCTCTCCCTCAAATAATCTTTAAAAAACATTCATTGATTTACTTTAGAGAGAACATGTGAATACCAGGGAAAGGCAGAGGGAAAGGGAGGGAGAAGGGAGACTCTCGGGCAGACTGCTCACTGAGCACGGAGCCGACAGAGTTGGGGGTGGGGGCTTGATCCCATGACCCTGAGGTCAGGACCTGAGCCCGAATCAACAGCCAGATGCTTCACTGAGCCACCCAGGCGCCCCAACACCTTACTGGTATTTTAAAAGAGACTCGAGAATATCAAAGAGAAAAGACCAACAAGGAGGTGGAAGAAGGGGCTTGGAAAGGGTGAGGACAGGGAGGCCACGAAGGCTAGGTGCAGCCTAGACACGTCTGGATGGGATGTTGAGAAAAAGAACCTAGCACAATCCCAGTTTTTGGCCTATGGTCCCGGAAAGACAGCACTGCCTTCCCTGTAGAATGAAGAGGCCGGGGACAGGGAGGAGGGTCAGCTGTGGGTTTTGGCTGTTAGGCTGATGTGCCCCTTGGAAATCCAAGGGCTGCTGCTGAGCAAGTATCTGGACCTCAGTCTGGGGTCTGGGCACAAGTCAGCACTGGCGTGTGACCCTGGAAGCTGTGCCTGTGCAGACAACAGCGAACACTGTGCAGATACAAGACAGAAGTGGCCAAAGGCCCACACCAGCCCTGCAGTGCTCACGGGCAGGTGGAGGGGCCAGAATGGAGCCATCAACCATCAACGGGGACCCGAGAGGGCGGCTGTACCGCCCAGGGTTCCGTGAGGACACCTGCTGAACCTGAGTAAGCAGAGGGCCCACACCTGGCCCTCGGATGAGACCACGTGGACACCAGCCTGGAAGGAGCTGCTCCAGGGCAGCAGTGGGGGCAAAGGGAGCCCAACCGTAGACCACGCAGACACCCCTGGGTGCAGGCACACACAGAGCTACACGCGCAGACTTCCACAGCATGTGGACCACACAACAGAGCACACGTGCAAACCACCCCCGCTGAGCACACATAGGCCACGCAGGGACTCTGCTTCCGAGCCATGCAGGGCTGGACCCAGGGCTCTTAGGGGCGTGCGGCAGGGGCTGAGTGCACGTGAGGCCGGGTAAGGGGACAGAGAGACAGCGGGCGGGCTTGGGGATCAGCTAAGAGCCGGGTGTGCGAGCGAAGGGAGCGCCCCGGAGGAACCCGAAGAACCTGACAAGAGCAGCCAGCTGGAGGACAAGGCCCTTTGCTGCAACGAGGGTGAGAGGGCTGGGGGACGAGGGAGGGGAAGGGCCAGTTCAGATGCCGCGTGAGGAGCGCGGGGAGCAGGGGGCGGGCGGCAGATGCACGGGTCACGATGCGGAGCTGTGGACACGGTCCGAGGTGGTGAGGGTGGGGTCAGCACAGGGGCAGGGCCCACGGGACCCACCCTGCACTGTCGCTCCAGGCCAGCTTCAGCCTCCCTGACCACCAGAGAGCACCTGAGTGCATGCGTCTGTCTGATGGACACATGGAGGCCCCACCCAGCGAGTGCCATTGGGATGAAGACGCTCATCTGCCAGGAACGTTCCCCACGGGAGACCACCTGGCGCGTCACCTGAGGACTCTCAGGAGGACCGCCAGGGAAGGGAAAAAGAACCCTTGTTTCCTTCAACAATGAGGATTCAGGAGAGTTCACGCTCCTGCTACCCCCGAGGAACCTGCAGGGACGGGGCTTGACACATACTTGAGCACCTGGGCGACGGTGTTGGGCCCGTACCACTGGCCGATGGACTTGCCCTCGCCAACTCCCATTTGCGCTGTGGGAAACACATGGGATTAGACGTGCGCCCCAGCCACCCCCCCCACGCCCGCCAGAAGAGGCCAGTCCTGGCCTCATGCGGCAGCGGAAACACTCCACAGGAAGCCTGGACAGGTGCACCCACCCCCGCCCCCGCCCCCCGCAGGAGCTCCTCCAGGGAGGACGGAGGCCACCTCAGGGTCCGTCCCACACGACAAGTCAGGATGCCAGCCCTCCGATACGGAGCAGCCTGGAGGAAACTAAATGAGTCAAAGCTATAGCTTGACTTCCTTCTGTGAGAGCGTGACGCTCCACAAAGAGGCGCGCACACAGCCCCACCCCAGGGCAAGGACAGCCTGGCCCCAGCAGCAGCCCCTGGTGGCTACGGGCCGGGGCACCCACACCCTCTCGCCTCGACATCTGACAGCAGAGAAGCTGTCGGGGGACCCCACCACTCGGCCTGGTCTAGGCGGCGGACGCGGGCACACTCTGCAGCCTCCCACCTATCTGGTGAATGGAGTAGTAACTGTCCTTTCTGTCGATAAACGCGTTGAGGACGTTGAAGTAGCTATCCGGCTGCCTCTTCCGCTGTGTCCACCTCCAATCTGTCGGAGAGACGCAGAAGTTGTTTTACCCAAACAGGAGAAAGAAGCTTTACGTTTATAAAACACTCAAGCCACAGGTGACAATACCCTCTTTTGTTTTTTTTTAATTTTTTTTTTATGATAGTCAGAGAGAGAGAGAGAGAGAGAGAGAGAGAGAGAGAGAGAGGCAGAGACACAGGCAGAGGGAGAAGCAGGCTCCATGCACCAGGAGCCCGACGTGGGATTCGATCCCGGGTCTCCAGGATCGCGCCCTGGGCCAAAGGCAGGCGCCAAACCGCTGCACCACCCAGGGATCCCACAATACCCTCTTTTGGAATCTAAAGTTAAAAGCTAAATTCTCCAGGATTCCAAACCATCAAAAACAAGTCCATACAGAAAGCAAAAAAAGGTTCCAGTGACACGATTTCTAAAAGACAAATGTTCACCAGAACTCCTTAAACTCACTTTTTTATTTTTATTTTATTAAAAATATTTTATTTATCCATGAGAGAGAGAGAGAGAGAGAGAGAGAGAGAGAGAGAGAGAGAGAGGCAGAGACACAAGCAGAGGGAGAAGCAGGCTCCATGCAGGGAGCGTGACGTGGGACTCGATCCCAGGACCCCGGGATCACGCCCTGGGCTGAAGGCAGCGCTAAACCGCTGAGCCACCCGGCTGCCCTAAACTCACTTTTTTAAACCAACGAAAACTAGTGGGTCACCGCTCAAGAAAACCCAGAATCAGGGTCTGTGTTGCAGGTGGGGACCTGCTTTGGTTAAGCTAAGCCCACAGCCCTGTTCGCTCCGAGAGCGCTGGCACTCTGGGGCCGAGACTCACCGCGGCCTAAGTGGCGGCACACCAGGGCCTGGGCGAAGATCATCTGTCCGCACCGCAGCATGCAGCCCCAGCCCGTGTCCGAGGTGGGGCCGGTTCCCCCTGTGGCAGGGGACAAAGGAGAGGCCCCGCCGTCAGATGGCCCAGCGGGTCAGGGCTCCTCCTCTCCACCTCAGGGGACAGGCCCTGTAGGTCCTGCTCACGCCGGGGGGCACATGTACTGGGCAGAGACCTGTCCTGCCAATCCCTCCAACTGGGCAAAATACACCAACAAGTCAGTCACAGAGGACTGAGAATGTGTGGAAAACACATGGAAAGACCCTACACCTCAGGAGTAACCGGGGAAGCTCCAAGGCGGTCAGGAGGCCGTGCCTGCCGGCACCGGAAGGGCACCAGGCGGCTGCTGGGAGAGCGGGCCCCAGACGCAGGAGGGCAGAACCGTAACCCGGGGTGCTCGGTGCCCCGGGGCCCGTCCCTGTCACGCCCACGGCCCAGGCCCCACAGGGACAGGGGACGCCCGACATCCCAGCCAGCAGCACCTGGAGCCGAGGGCAGCCCCTCCCACACGTGGGTGGACGAGGCGTCAAGGGGCAGAGCGGCAGCGGGCAGAGGAAGCATAGCGCTCTGGGCCTGCCGCGCCAGCTCCTGTACGCACCGGCCACCTGCGGCAGGCACCCTTGCTCTCAAGGGCTCCACCAAACACAAGGCTCCCCTCGGCCTGACCTCACTGTGAGTCCCGACGGCAGACCTGCGGGACAGCGGGGTCCCTCCCAGGCCTGCACAGGCCCCGGCCCGGCGCCTCCACCCCTGCCTCCAGGGCGGAGCAGAGCAGCCGCAGAGCAGGTGTGAGAATCTGTGGCATGAACGACCCCCGGAGCACACCTGCCGAATGCCATCATCTAGTGGCCTGTGGTGGCACCGGCCTCGTTTCCCCACACTGCAGCACTCTGGAACATCGAGCACTGCGGCTACACCGCATCTGTCTCCCTTCCGAGAACCCAGGAGATCAGATCCCAGTGAGGGGCCAGAGACCAGCCGCCAAGGAGCTGGAGCCTCCCAGTGCCGAACCTCTGGTGGCGGCTTCTCCCATCAGCAGAGGCAAGGCCAAGACTGGGGCCCCTCCTCTGTCCAGCTCCAGGGCCACGACAAGGAGCCAGCCGCCACGGGATGTACGTTACTGCCATGTGAAGACGTGGCACATCAGCCTCACCCTTCAGCTCTCCCCACAACCAGGCATGGAACACATGGGGAAAGGCGATGGACATGGAGCAAAGGCCTCCAAACATCCTGGACCTCCTGTTACAGCCGTGACCCAGGACACAGTTCAGACGCACAAACCGAAGCTGCCTGACTTCGTAACACACGATTCCACGGTCCGTTCTGCTCTACGTGCCTGAACGCCGCTTGTGAAACATCATCCTGATCTGAGGTCCCAGGAAGAAATCACGACTAGCATCGGAAAATCCTTGCCCTGGGGAGAATCCGGAGGATCGGACCCTGCCTCCGCCACACCAGGGGCCAGACCTCAGCCAGCGTATCTCACTAGGGTCGCTGTGAGGCTCAGGATGAAGCGACAAGTATCCCACACCCAAGTCAACCCTATAAACCTAAGTTTCCCTCCCCGTAAATCGTGTACATCACGGGTTGTGAGAGACGGGATACTTACCGATGGCTGGGAAGTTTTTCCTGTATGTAAACCAAAGCCTGGACGCCACGTCGGACAAGATCTCATCCTTTTCTAGGGATTGTTTAAAAGAAGAAAACACACAAAGCCTTAACTTCATAGATCACGTGCCATAAAACGTTAACAGATAACTATTATGACCACGAAATGCTTTTTGTAGATTGAGCCTGAGAGCACAGCAGGCTCCGATGTGGCCAATACCTGTGAAAATGCTGTATTTTCTACCCAGTATCCACACAGGCTCTGAGGTCTCCGGGAAATCTTCAAATTCAGCAAATCGAAGAGTGTCGTAGGTCAGAGTAGCTATTGAAACCAAACACACATTGATCCCATTTTTATAACGTCATGAAACAGCAGCGGAGATCCTTCCCAGAACTTCTGTGTCAAGAGCCCCGTGTAATTCTGTGTCCTGGTAGGGCCGGGACAACCACCAAGGACAGGGCAAGCCACGGGGCAGCACCTCCGGCCGCCCCACCCGAGCCCGGCCTTTCCGCGGAGGCCCCACAGAGGGAAGTACCTGATGTAAGTACTCGCTTTAAACTTAAACCTACAGGACAAAAGAAATCCTTGCGTCGCAGCGTGCAAGCGAGGCCACACCACATAACAGGTGGGGTTGGTGTCCCCTAGGAGCAGGTGTCCAGAGGCCGTGGGGAAGGGGGAGCTTCAGGGGCAAGAAACACAAGCTGGGGATGATGATGACAAGCAGCTGTGGAGGGGCAGGTACTACTCCTGGGTGGGACACAAACCCCCAGAAACAAACAGACCTTTCGGCAAAGTCCTTGAGCCTCTCACAGCTGTTTTCACTCAAGGTGCTCCTGGAAGAGCATGGCCACCAGCTCCCACCTGCTAAGAAGGTCACTGTGTGTGGAGCTCACAAGATCTAAGCACCGTTTTGTTCTGTTGCCTCAATTAAGCTAGAGACGCCCCGTGTCCCTCTCTGTCCTTGGGAGCCGGCTGAGGAAACGCTCTGCTCACGGTCCCCAGACTCTGCAGAGCCCAGACCAACACCCGTGAGGCCAGGGGCACGGTGCGTCCTGGGTCCCCAACTTTCCAGCTGCCCCTCATGGAAGCCCAAGCACACAGAGCTTTCACCTGCTGCCTCTCAAGCCTCAGTGGGACCCAGTCCCTCGTACCTTCACCTGCAACTTCCCAGATAACTCTGGAAAATCAGTTATAATACTTTCTCCCACAACTGAATTTAATTTTTAATAGCCCCGCTTATTATATATTATATATGTCCTATAACAATAACATCCGTTTTTAAAAACTCAAAGACCACAAAAACATTATTAAAAACCCATCTGCGGGATCCCTGGGTGGCGCAGCGGTTTGGCGCCTGCCTTTGGCCCAGGGCGTGATCCTGGAGACCCAGGATCGAATCCCGCGTCGGGCTCCCGGTGCATGGAGCCTGCTTCTCCCTCTGCCTGTGTCTCTGTCTCTCTCTCTCTCTCATTCTGTGTAACTATAATAAATAAAAATTAAAAAAAAAAAAGAAGTCTCTGTGTAGATCCATAAAGGAAACTGAACGACACCTGTGATTTCCTCCTCTATCCTAGATGACACAGTCACTCCGTGTAGACGCACGGCGGCAGCACACGGCAGCCAGCCTCACAGCACTGTGCTACACAGAGGTCCGCGCACCCTGTCAGATGCCCCTCACGTGCCTGGTGCGAGCACCCCCGGCATCCTCCGGCACCGGGCACAACCCCTTGGGGATGCTGGAGTGCAGGGCGGGCTCTGGCGCCTGGCAGCAGAGACTCAGATCCCAGCTCAGGCACTCGCAGGTTGTACGTTCTTTGGGCCCCTTGACCTCTCAATGTAGAGATTTCCTTACTCATAAAATGGAGGGAAAAAATAACAGGATACCCTCACAGTGCAGCTGCAACGCGTCCATGAACCTTCCCCACGAGGTGCTCACACAGAAGCTGGCAGACACAAGGCCTCCAAGGTCAGCTGCTGTCATTAATATTGAGGACACAGAACTGCAGCCTCAGAGGCACGCAATCTTACGACACTCAAAAGGCTAAGCTGGATGCGCAGCTAATTCCCAGTCACAGGGCTGGGAAAGCAACGCTCCTGAACAAAGAAATACACGGCAACAGGAGACCGTCTGCTGCTTCAAGCACTCTCCAGTTCTCAGCTCTGCCTTCCCTTCTTTCCACCTGAAACCTGACAGCGTCAGGGCAGTCCTGTGCTTCTGGAACAGGCCGCGCTGCCCGGGACGCGAGCGTGATGGCAGGTGCCGGGGGCCCCCACTGGCCGGGTCCTCGCAGTGGCTCCACTCAACGTGTCTGACTGCCAGTGCTTCGACGGAGCCAACTGAGCTGTCTACGGTTAGGAACCACTAAAGCCTGGGTTTCTCTGGCCCTCCCTTCTTACATAAGATTACGTGTTTCTGGGGCAGCCTCGGTGGCTCAGTGGTTTAGCGCCGCCTTCGGCTCAAGGCGTGGTCCTGGACCTGGAGTGCCAGGTCGGGCATGGACTCCCTGCATGGAGCCTGCTTCTCCTTCCGCCTGTGTCTCTGCCCCTGTCTCTACCTCTCTCTCTCTGAGTCTCTCATAAATAAATAAAACCTTAAAAAGAAAAAAAGATTACATGTTTCTGCACGTCATTATGAATGCCACGTTGGAGTGAAAACACGTTCTATCTTCTTGGGGAGCTGCAAACATCACGGTGTTTCTGTTACTTCTCTATTGTCAGGACCTCTGGCCTTTAACCAACACGTAGATTCAAACCCAAAAGTCTACTCTCCACGAAGGAGGACACAAACAACTTGTCTGATAACAAGTGATAACACGGCAGGACCCTAGCTCTCATCCTGCCCTACTGGAGCCTTGACCCTTCAAAGGCTGCAGCCGTGAACTAAAGATGCGGAGACGGCTTGCGGCCCAGAGGCTACCGAGTGCTGTGGGGCACCGCATATGTCAAAGGACCACAACCCGGTATCAAAGGTGGGGCACCTTTGAAGTTGAGAGGTTTTCATCACGGAGGTGGCAAATGCAAAACAGGCGTATTTCTTAGGTTTACTAGCAAACTTTATAGGCAACCACGCCAACTTCAGAGGGAAAGAAGAAGAGGTGTTCTATTAAGTTAACACTTCATCACCAAATTTCCTACTATAGCCAACTGAATTACGGGTTGTGTGGCCTCAGATTCTTTACTGCATCGGCCAAATGCAAATAAGGCGCCAGACGCACTCAAAGGGAGTGAACTCCTGGGAAGTGACCCCAGCTCTTGCCAGATTTAGCAGGAGCCTCAAAGTGAGGGTACACATCCATCATCTGCGGGGTCCCTCAAGAGCACTCACATGCCCACGTTCCCCCTCACCCGTCGCATCGCTGCTTTTCCTGCCTCTGCCCCCCCCCCAAATCCCGCCTCTGTTGGGTGCGAGTCACACGTGCCTCTGGAATTGCTGCCGACACACTCCCTCCATGGCACTGCAGCGTCCTCGGACAGGGACCGTGTCCCCCTGTCGGTCCCGAGGGACACTACGCAGGGAGTGTGTGTCCATCAAGCCTGTTGAACACAGTCCCCGCTGGGGGCAGCACAAAGTCTGACCCTCACTCAGTGGAGGCCTTACTGTGCTCATCCCTCAAGGATGGTGTGAGGAGGAAACAGGAAAAGCTTTGCCCCATGCTGGGTGACAGTAGGCACATTTTGGGGTGGGTCCCCCGGAAGTCACCAGAACGAGTAAGTTGGGGGCGCCACCGTGTGGAATGAAGACCAGCCTCCACATTCTGTGACAGGTGTGCCACCCGGTGCAACATACACAGGACACTGACCCAAACAGGGAATTACCTCGGAACGCTGAATCTAAGCAACGAGCATCCTCCCAAGACTGGGTCTCGGGGGCAGAAGCCAGCCATCTGACACAGGCTGGCTCAACGTCCTTAGGCTTCCACCCTGGAAAACGAGCACGGAGTCCCACGGACCTCCAGCAGTTCCGACCAGGAAAGCAAGTGAAGGACGTCTCGTCACCGTGCAGCCGTCACAGTCTTGACCGGCCGTTGGTGGCTCTGCACTGTCCCACCTGCAGCAGAGGACACTGACACCTGAACGAATGCCGTGGCCTGGGCACCCTCATGGCTCCTCACGGCTCCCTCTGGTGGAGGCACTGCTCACTCAGCACCAGCCGCCATGCCTGGACCAGGCCACCACACTCCTGAACCTTCCAGACCTTACCCTCTGAGGCAGAAAGAGGTTTTTCTAAATACCATCCACGCCTGATGCTCAATTTTCTAATCTCTATGAAGATTTGTTTGTGGAGACAAAGAGCCCACTTGCTCGCTGTAGGATGCACGGCCCTGGTCCCCCGGCCACAAAGTGGGGCATGGCTGCTGGCTCTGCAGTGAGGTGGGAACGCAAGGCTAGTGCCAGGTCCCAGCAACAGTTTCCAGAGCCTCCTCCTCCTTTTTTTGGTATTATTTCAAGCCTCATAATCTGTAAGATAAAACGAAATCTCCCTTGCCCCTTACAAAACGCCACTTTTATCATCGGCAGTCGTTTATACAAAACACATATTAGCGCTTCTGCAGAATGAAAACTGTTACAGAACACCACTTCAGAAAACAGTTCAATAGAAAAACTAGTACTTTTCTATTTTTTTAAAAAAGATTTTATATATTTACTTTGATAGCATGAACAAAGAGAGGAACAGAGGAAGAAGGAGAAGCAGACACCCCGCGGGGAAGGGAGCGCGACATGGGGCTGGGTACCAGAATCCTGACCTGAGCCGAAGGCAGACACTTAACCACCTGAGCCACCCAGGGGCCTCCTAACTTTAGTTTTAAAACAGAAAAGTTTGGGGCACCTGGGTGGCTCAGGTAGTTAAGTGTCTGCCTTTGGCTCAGGTCAGGATTCTGGGATCAAGCCCTATGTCAGGCTCCCTGCTTCTCCTTCTGCCTCTGCCTGCCACTCCCTCTGCTTGTGCATACATATGTGTGTTCACTCGCTCTGTCAAATAAACATATAAAATCTCTAAAAAAAAATATATAATATATATATATATATATATAAATACATATATAAAATCTAGAGGGGTACCTGGGGGGCTCAGTGGTTGAGCATCTGCTTTGGGCTCAGGTCATGACCCCGGGGTCCAGAGATCGAGTCCTACGTCGGGCTCCCTGCATGGAGCCTGCCTCTCCCTCTGCCTGTATCTCTGCCTCTCTCTGTGTGTGTCTCTCATGAAAAAATAAAATCTTAAAAAACAAACAAAAAAACTAGAGTTCACAATCAGTAACATCCGCACAGGTTTGGCCAATATCAGGAGGCCACTGCTTTCTCAACTCTGCTCAGATGGACCAGCTTCATGAAGGCTTGAGGCCAGGAGTCCCTGCATCCTTCCCAAAGAGAGCTGCCCCAAATTAATTAGGCCTCAAAATAATCTCATCACCACCACACATGGTATCATATCATATATGAAACAGTTCACATGCCTCCTGAGTGAAAAGCAGTCAAATCTTGAAAAGAATCCCAGTCTCCAGACTCCCAGGAAATGGTTTTGACTTCCACTAAGATGACACTCAGGGCAACCAATATTGACAGGTGTCACCCACCTTAAGAATGAGGCTGTTTCAGAGGCACTTTCCCTCACTTGGTCACTTGGGTCCCAGACACTTGATTTTCTACATTTTCCTCCAAGATGTCTGTGAGCACACCCGGAAGAGGAAGCAGAAAGCTTCACTACTACAGTAATTCCATTAGAAACAAACGTTTTAATATTATTTATCTGGCAGAAAAATAGAGAATTGTGCTAAACGGCGGTAACCAATTTGTCTCTACTTAGTACCAACCACACTGTAGTCACCAGGGAGAAGCACAAAACACACACCACTGCATTTCCTTTAGAGCTTACTGTATAACATCACTTTTCAAAGATATTTCCCCAAAACACCAATAGCTTCTAAGAGATTATGCTTTATAAATAAAACCAAAGGGTTCTATCCTTTCTTTAGAAAATGTTTACATTTAAAAACCAGGTTTACTAAACAAACAAACAAAAAAAAAAGGTTTACTAAGTAGTTACTTTCTATTTATTTTTAAAGATCGTATTTATTTATTCATGAAGAGACCCAGAGAGAGAGGCAGACTCCCTGTAAGGAACCTGATGCCAGACTCGATCCCAGGACCCGGGGGGTCACGACCTGAGCCGAAGGCAGACAGACGCTTAACCACTGAGCCACCAGGGTGTCCCAAGTAGTTACTGTTTAAAATCTCAGTTTCCCTGAAGATGCTGGCAGTTCAGTTCTGGATGAAAAAGAAGAAAAAGAAAAGCACCCGGAACATCAGCTATGCCAGAGTCCAGGAGATCTCACGCCCACGGGCACGCTGGACAGCACGCCACGCTGGGCCCGGCTGCCCCGCAGTTGAGCAGCCCCTCTCCCCACTGACACCTTATTAGCTAACAGACTACATTTACCCAGCAGACTCTCCAAACTGAAGCTCTCACGGCACAGAACCCGTACGCATTACCTCGATTACCAAGCAAATGCCAGACACAGCGTGAAGCCCTTGAGACGCTGGCTCTGTCCTCAAGGGATGGAGAGCACAGCTATGTGACTGCTGGCACGCACAGGTTCCTTGAGCCCAGAGCGTGCCTGGACACAGTGCCGGGGCTCCGTGAAGACCACCACCAGCCTGCAGTCGGCCTGCCGCTTCTGGACCTCCCCACGCCAGCCAGCAGCTCTTCTGTTTCCTCCTCCTCTCAGACCCTCCGCGTCTCATCCAAAGTGGCTTCCCACACACTTCGACCTCAGCTCCAGGCCCCTGGACATCACCACGTAGATGTCTAACAACAGTCAACACATACAGTCCAACAGCTCCCCCACCAAGCAAGACCCCCGAAGTCTTCACCACCAGTTTCTCAGTTCAGCCCATGAACCTCAGCACTACCTTCCACTCCTCACCCCTGCATGCCCCCTCCCACCCCATCGCTTCCAGTGTCTACACAGTCCTGTTGTCTCAACCCTCAAATATGTCCACAATTCAACTTCCTCTTCCCACCCTGAGGAAGCTGCCAGAGCCTCCCACTTGCCTAACCCAAACAGCTTCCTAGCTGGTCTCCTCGCTTCTGCCCAGGGCCCTCGGCAGGACACGCAGTGTGTTCTGGACACAGTAGCCAGAGCGAGTCCGCTAGACATACGTCCAGTCACGTGTCTCCCCCACTCAAAACCTTCCAAAGACTCACCAACTCGCTTAGAATAAACAAACACCCGAGTCCTCACTGTGACCCAACAAGGCCCCATGACTTGGCCAAATCTGTGTCTCTGCCTTCGGCTCCTACTTGTCTCACTCCCACCTGCTACATCCTGGCCACACTGACCCACTCGCCCTTCCCCCTGCGCTGCTCCTGGGTCTTGATCAAACGTACCCCCGTCTGCCCTGAGACTGTTCCCGGCCATCCTGGGATTCCAACCCCTCTAGCTCGGCCCACATCATTCTCCCACAGGAGCCATGTGGTTTCCGTCTCATCTGTTCACTTCTCTAGCCCCGGGGGTCTAGAACAATGCCCAATACAAACCTCCCATTCAATAATAAACGTACTTTACTGAACGAATCCCTACAAAAGCAACTGGGGACCTTGCAAGACTTGGTCGAGGAAGGACGAACCTGGGAGTCCAGAGGCTACAGGAGGCCGTACCATCAGTCAGCATGGTGTCGGAGAAAGCTCTCCACCACAGTCTCCAAATACCACGTGTGTTTTCATGAGCAACAACGGCGACCTCCAAATGTGAATACTTTCTACTTTGACATACCGCTCAGCGTCCCGTTAGGGTATCCTCAGCACGTGGCCACTCCTAACTTCAACCTGACGACTGCCACGTGCAGGGTAACGCGACCAACCCCGAGCTGTGCGGCCACCGTACCCAGGTCGCTCGTCTTAACAGTCTAAGGCATCCGAGCAGTTACGACTTCAAAAAAAAAAAAAAGTGGACAAATAGTTCTCTTCCTTTCTCCACCTCCAGCAAACAATAAAACACTCCCTGATGGTTTCTTTTTTAACAATTTTTAGAAAAAGTTTTATTTATTCCTGAGAGACACACACACACACAGAGAGAGAGAGAGAGAGAGAGAGAGAGAGAGAGAGGCAGAGGCCCAGGCAGAGGGAGAAGCAGGCTGCGTGCAGGGACCCTGATGCAGGACTCGAGCCCAGGACCCCGGGGTCACGCCCTGGGATGAAGGCAGACGCTCAACCATGGGCGGAACCACCCAGGCGTCCTGGTTTCTCTTTTTTTTTTTTTTTTTTAAACAAACTTCCCAAAG